AAAAATGACAATTTTTACCCAAAAAAAAAAAAAAAAAAAAAAATCAAGTTCCCAGTGTATAAATGCAGTACCATACACCAAAGCGGGCAGACGAGAGGCAACGTGAAGCTCTGTCTGCTCAATTTCAACAGCGTTACAGCAGAGGGGAATGAAAGGAACAGTACACCAAACAGATGGCAATTCATTCTCACATTTATCCTTTTGCAGAGGCTAATTAACGACACCGACGCAGACCTGACGCGGTTTCCCTCAGCGACAAACCCAGGAAGCGTTCGATGGAGTTCGCATTGTGGAATTCGTTTCAGTAAGGAGGAGAAAGAAGGCAAAAATAAGAAATGGCTTGTATGGTTATTATGCGTCGAAGGAAAAAAAAAAAAAAACAACAACAAAAAACAATCAAGATAGAACAGGTCCGCTTTCTCAATGTGCTCTTAGTTTGATATCTTTGTATCCAAAGGCACTCTTTGGCTGAGTATTGTAGTCAAAAAATCAAATAAAAAAAAAAACAAACAAAAAAAAGGATAAAATTAAAAGCTATTAGCATCTGAGAAGCCGGACTATCTCTGAGACACTGCAAGGAAGCCTTGATACGTAGAGAAATGTGCAACATTTTCAGCACAGAAAAAAAAAAAATAAAAAATCAAAGTACCACTTCACTTTTGAAACCACACTACTGTTCAGCGATGTCAGTTTTTGCATCAGCCACAAACCAAGATGGCGATTACATGTGCAGGCACTGAAAAGTGACAAAGTTGCAACCACATGGCATTTATAACTGCTGCTGAGAAACAAAATGAAAGAAGAAGAAGAAAAAAAAAAAAAAAAAAACTTATGTAATGCAATGTGTCTAAAACCTTCTAGCTAATTAAACCAGTTAAGCACCTGAAAGACAAATGAACTGAACCAGACATTCTTGAATTCTTTAGCAAGTACAGCTCACCAATCAGTGATTTTTAATCAGTCTTTTTTTTTGTTTGTTTTTATGGCAGTGTCAGTGAAGAACCACTTGCATTCATAGCCGTGTATTTCTTGTGCTAAGCATAAACTGATCCTAGGAGCTTCTATCGTGTTCTACTGTCTTTGCACGGGCTTACAGGGATATGAAACTTCGACGTGAATACGAACTGAAATGTCACTTATGTTTCCAAAGCGGCATCGTGAAAACCTGTTGTGCCAGAAACAAACGCGTTCGCTGTGACTGCTTTTGAAAGTTCTAGAGACGCTAAACATTCGGAGACGTTCGTTTCTCTCCAAGCTTAAGCGTGCGTGAAATGGTTTTGCCGTCTGGGACTGACGCCTGTGGAAAGAAATACATGCTCTCATCAATACCTGCCAGGGCTAAGCACTGACTCACTGTGAAAAGCTGTGATTAAGGATGAATCACTGAGGGTTAAGAATGAAGCGGCCGCACACGCCTGGCACTAGACCTTCCAGTACGGAGGACAAACGCTCCATTTACTTTTATAGCTTCGTTTGTCTGTCTGTAAGATAGCACTGCTCGCAGGATTCAAGGAGTCAGTTCCTAAATGAATCGGCTCTTTGAGTCGGTTCTATTCGACTCGATTCGGTTTTGAAGCTTCAGGCGATTCACAGGGGACAAAAAAAAAAAAAGGTGGGATTTCGGATCCAATCCGGAAACGAGTCAGGCACTTGGAATTAAAAACTGGTGAGGCAGCACTCGACGCGAAAGCGTCAATAAGGCGTTCGAGAGATATGAATTGTTACGTGTGACGGAGAGAAGACAACAAGGTGGTGTACAAGGATCTGATAGCACTACGGTCGTTTGTTTTTTTTTTTTGTTTTGTTTTTTTTTTTACAAGACAAGACATGTAAAAATCTTATACTGATCGTTATGTACTGTCATGTAGCCACTGTGTTAGATTACAGGCTTTTGTTTCATCCAAAGATGTAACGGTGTGACCGTCTGTAGAAGGCATATACTTGTCAATATAAAGGCACACCATTCTAACACCTCATTTCACAGAAGCAAAAAATAAAATTTAAAAAAAAAAAAAAAAAAAAAAAAAAAAGAAGAATGACATTTTGGGTAATAGTCAAATATAATGAATATCTAAAGAGGTTTTTGCAGGAAAGCTTTTCATTCTCAGGTGTTAAGCTCTCTATATGTGTATAAATATTTCATATCATTCCTCACATTGTGTGGTTTTTTCTAGCAGGAGAGGGTTTGAGCTAACCTGTTAGGCACAGAAAGGCCAGATTACAAACGTCAGGCAGTAGAAAAGAGGTGCTTCTCTCCTCAGAGACTGCTTGAGTAAACCATGCCATCATGCCATCACCGCTGGGTGAACATGGGTCAGACTGTTAACTTCTTTTCTGTATTGCTTGGTTTCATTATTAAAATATTGCCGTGTATCTTGCAATTCCATTTTGAACCATGAGGTAAGTGCGAGCGATCTTGACAACCACATCATTCCAAGGAGACAAAGGAGGCCAAAAGGGAAAGTGGTTTTTGAAATCAACAAGAGTTTCTTCAGTTCTAGTAAAGAGTGCATACTTTGGTGACTGTAGAGGGGAAAGAAAAAAAAATAATAATTCAAGGAGCCAAAAAACAATACCTAGAGTGGTTAAAAACACGAGTGGGGAAGGAGAGATGGCTATCAACACCGGGATCATCCGTCTGTCCTCCGAGCTCTCCGAGTCCATTTCCATCAGTCTCCTAGGCCAAACTACAAGAGGACGCATTTTTTGGAATTCTTTTTGGTGACAGGATAGAGAACGGCACGCACGGCCTCGGCGAAAACTTCCCTGACGCCTTCTTGGAGCAGGGCGGAGCACTCCATATACTTCACGGCGTTGATCTGCTTAGCCAGCGCGGTGCCCTGCTGCTGTGTGGTGGGCGCCAGGTTCTGCTCCTTTAACTTCTTGACGGTCTCGGTGTCGCTGCGCAGATCGCGTTTGGTTCCCACGAGCAGCACAGGCACGCTGGGGCAGTGGTGCGACACCTCGGGGAACCACTTGTGCCGGACGTTGGCGTATGACGACGGGCTGCCGATGGAAAAGCAGATGATGAACACGTTGGTCTGAGGGTAGGAGAGCGTGCGCAGCCGGTCGTACTCCTCCTGACCTGCTGTGTCCCACAGGTTCAGGCTCACCGTGCGGCCGTCGACGCTCATCTGCGCGCTGTAGTTGTCGAACACGGTGGGGATGTACTCCTCGGGGAAGGCGTTGGTGGTGTACGAGATGAGAAGGCACGTTTTCCCCACCGCCCCATCGCCAACAACGACGCACTTTATCGTCTGCATCCTTCTTTAGGCCACACAGGCAGGGACACCTACAGCGCAGAACCCCAGAATCAGTTAAAAACAAAAAAAAAAAAAAACACTTGTAATTCTTTTTAAAGGTTTGAATTTTGACCCATATGGAACGTTTTCACGTGAGAAAATAACGGTTGCGTCTCAGTCAGCACCCTAAATCAGTAGTCAGCACACTGATCAGGGAGGCGGCCATTTTAAGGGCTGTCTCAATAGTGCACTAGAACGTTCGCACCCTAAAAAAACCCCACAATGCACTGCAAAAACCTGGGAGCATCGATCTCGATTACTTACATAAGCAACTTTATTCGACGTTCTATATACGGTTTGTTTGAGTTTAACGACTTTTTAAAAAAAAAAATCCACTAGCTAGCTTACGATCCTGCTTGAAGCACCATGACGGAATACCAACGTCGGAAAAACATCGGTCCTGTCTGTTGTTGATGTCAGTGCCAGTGATGTTTTACAACCTCGGGAAATTGACAGAAATTGCGTCACCAGTGTCCCAGTGTGTAGTGAGCCCGGGTCTTTACCAGCGCCCGAACCCGTGTACACGACACACTCGTTCATGACCCAGGGAACTAGCGAGCAGATTGAGACGCGCCCCGATGTATTGCCTAATAATCCACGCTCTGAGCAGTATAGTGAACATGATTTTTATTGCAGTACCTACACCGGTA